GCTGCAAATGAACAAGAAGTTCTTGGAGCGGTAAAAATTGATATTATGTATTAAAAAAATATGATATTATGTATTATATTTATAATTAAAATTATTTAAATTTTTTATATTTGCATTTAATATATAGGCTGGAGAGGTAGTTACAGAATTACAAGAAGAACAAAAATCTTTAATATGGTTCTTAATGAAACAAGTTCGACCAGGCATGGATTTATCAAAAGTCGTCTTACCGACTTTTATTTTAGAACCTCGTTCGTTTTTAGAAAAGTTGGCCGATTCTTATTATCATGCAGATTTATTGTCTCAGTAAGTATAAATTTATAGATTTCAAAAAATATTCATATAAAAATATGATGTATAATATTTTGTTTCTTGCTTTTACAGAGCAGTAGTAGAAGATGATGCATTTACACGTATGAAAGGCGTTGTTAAATGGTATTTATCTGGATTTTATAAAAAACCTCAAGGTTTAAAGAAACCTTATAATCCGCTTTTGGGTGAAACTTTTCGCTGCTATTGGCAGCATCCTAATGGTTCAAGAACTTTCTATATAGCTGAACAGGTATAGTAATTATTTAAATTATATTTATATATTGCCATTTTTATAACTATAATATATTTATTATAAACATATTAATGTTAATAGCTTTCTCATCATCCACCTATATCAGGATTTTATGTTACTAATCGACAAGATGGATTTACTATTAGTGCTACAATTATTGCAAAATCTAAATTTTACGGTAATTTTTTTCTTATTTTTTTTTTTTTTTTTTTTTCTAAAAGATGTTTCTAAAATATAGTTGTTATATATAAATATATATATATATATATTTATATATATATATATATATTTTTTTTATTTCTCAGGAAATTCAACATCAGCAGTTCTAGATGGTGTTGCCATATTAACAATGTTACCTAGGGGAGAAGATTATACAATGACAATACCTTATGCTCATTGTAAAGGAATTCTTATGGGTACATTATCAATGGAATTAGGTGGAAAAATTCATATAAATTGCGAGAAAACAGGTTATCATACTGAATTGGAATTTAAACTTAAGGTAATATGGAATACAAAATTAAAATAATAAACAAAATTAATTAATTATTTATTCAATAGCCATTTCTTGGGGGTGCAGAACAAATGAATCAAGTTACAGGAGGAATACGTTTAGGCAAAGAAACTCTTGCTATTATATCAGGCTATTGGGATGGTCAAATATTAATTACTGATAAAAGAACAGGAGTATGTCTAATCAGATAATAGAATTTTGTATTATTTATTATCTATGAATTATTTATTATAATTATATAATTATTTATTATAATAAATCAATATTATATTACTTAATTTTACAGCAAGAAAATGTATTTTTTAATCCCACTCCAGAAGTACGTAAAAGAAGATTAAAAAAATATACTGTACCTTTGGAACATCAAGGTCTGTGGGAAAGTGAAAAATTATGGTATGATGTTACGCAAGCAATCAATCGAGACGATCAAATTGCTGCCACTGAAGCAAAAACTCAATTAGAAGAAGCTCAGAGAGAGCGTGCTAAAGAACGAAAACTTAAAGGACAGGAATGGGTTCCTAAACACTTTGTTCAGGTATTATATATTAATAAAATTAAATAATTGAAATTTTCAAAAATATTTAAAAATAAACTATTCAAAAATATCATTTTTTCATATCAACAGGATATTATAACTGGTAATTGGGTTTATCGACATGCAGATGTTCGACCATGGGATCCTAGAAATGATGTTGTACAATATGAACAAGATTATATAGTACGTACAAAAACTAGACACAAGACACCGATTATGCGTACTGGCAGTATCGTTTCTACTGAACCACAAACACAGGTATAAGAATATAAAAATTAATAAAATAAATTGCATCCTAATAATTTATTTTATATTTTAATAATTTAACGTGTAACATAAATAATATTAAAATTGTTTCATCTAATTATTTAATTGTATATCAAAGAATAATTCATTTCACTTTTTCTTATACAAAATAAGATATTCTAAAAATATATATTTTATGTTACAGGTTCCACTTCTTCAAGCTGAATCACGTTCATCACTTTCTGTATTAAAATCTTCTAAAAGACAATTGTCTAATAATTTAGCAGAAACTGCTCATGATTCTGGAAGTTCCTCTGCAGAGGTACATTCAGATTCTAGTCAATCAATAGGTAAAAGGAAACGCTCTACTGCAAGGTAAATTATTTAATATTTTTTCAATTTTTTATTATAATTTTATTACAATAATATTCTATATATATATTTCTAATAAATTCTAATCAAGAAGATATTGAAGAATTTTTTTAATATTGTATTTTCAGGATTATAGATGTTCTTAAAGAATTAGAACGACAAATGTTAGAATATGGTGATAAATTAAATCGTATACAACATATATTAGAGCAACTTGCTATAAGACAAAGAGAACAGGGTGATCAATATCATAGTATAAATATGTTGAAAAGCTTCATAGATACGATTCTCGTTATTGTAATAGTTTTTTCTGTACAATACTTTGTAAAAATATGGACCGACGAACCTAGTGGAGGTTGAAAATATGCTAATAAGATCGTAGTATAAATTGTATATATTATTTATCTTATCTCAATTCGAATTATCAGCTTCTGTGTAAAAAAAAATCTTGAAAAGTTTTGAAATTTAAAATAGTTAATTCAAACGTATTTTTGATGGAAACAAAAAACACGTTGTTTTTTATTAGTGTATTAAAAAATAGAGTAAAAAAATTACAGATATAAACATATATATTCAGGTAATCACAGTGCAATGTTATTTAGCTTTTGTTATTTTAATTACTGATGATACATTCATTATGTAAATCTAGCCTGTTCTAGTAATTACTTATATAATAATGTAATATTTTTAGTCTTTGTTAATTGTTCTTCACAACAATTAACCATGATAAAAGGATTGAATTTTTTTGAGCTTATGTATATAATATTTTATGTGCTAATGCACAAGAAAATAATTATATATTTATTCAGAAATTCTAATAATGTTGTAGTATTTATTGCAGGCGCTCAATAGTAAAGTGTATTTATGATAATAATAAGATTACTATAAAAATATAGTAATATAACATGTACATTACTATGAATTTGATTATCTTGGAATTATCGCGATATAAAACAAAGCTAATTGCAGTTTCAAGAGAAATATAATAAATTCAATTTAGAGAATAAATTCAATTTTATAGTAGCTATCAAGAAATTGTATCTTGAAAATATTAAATAGTCATCAGTTTTATTGATATTAACAAAAATAAATTCCTTATAAAGTAAAAATCAAATTTTAATAATTATTCGCGTATGAAATAAGAATACGTCCAAAATATTAATACATAATTTAAATCCATAAATTTATTTTGTATCATTTGCATCTTTATATTGATAAATATATTGTGATGCATTTGGATAGAAACTGTTTTTATATTTAGAGTAATTTTCATTAATAATATTTTTATTTAATAATTTAAATTTCTAAATATACTTACAAATATAATAATATAATTTTATAAATATATTTATAAAATTGTATTTTATAATTTATTATTAATATTTCTTGAGATATATTTCAAAGTTTATTTTGAAAATTAATTAAATATAATAATAAAAATATATCTTGAACATTATATATTAGTAATTATATTATTAAAATAACAATTTATAATGGATGATTTTCAAAGTTAACTATGTCATATCAAGCTAAATATCGCTAATATATACAACAAATATATCATTAATTCTGTATCAATTCTATATAAATTTTAAATTGACTTTTTATATTAGTATATCAAGATAAAACATTCAAGTAACAATTAATTTTTTTTTCTTCTTTAAAAAAAGAAAAATTAGTATCCAAATAGCCCTCTCATTTTGATTAATATTATATATTATATTTTAATAAAACAAATAATAGAAAACTTTTTATAAATAATGAAGCATTTATTATTAGTGTAAAACTATTCTTTTTATAAATGCTAATATAATCTGTATATTATATAAAATTTTAGCATCATGTTATAATTCTTTTTGATAAAAATTGTTTGTTTTTCTAATATTTCTAATAATATATATTAACATATATTTTTTTTACTGATGACACATATTTGATACAATTTATTAAAGTCTAATTTCATTAGATATGTTTTTTTTTTAAATGAATGAAACATTCCTTAATTATATATCTCTATTTATTTCTATTTATATAAAAATCTTTATATAAAAATTATAAAGTATTTATTCACAATTTTTTAAAATACTGCAATTAGCTAAATTTATTTTTTTATTTACATAAGTTCATATATAAATTATTAAATTTTCTAATTTAAATTTATTTATTGGATATTTAAAAATAATTAATATTTAAATATAGTTTTATCTATTTAATTTATTTTGCACAAAAATTTAGACTTGTTTCCTGTTTATACTATTTCTATTATTTAATTTTGCATATATTATTATTATAAATTCATTGTTAAAATTAAGTGTTTTTTAATATCTCTGGATAAAAATTTAATATCAAGAAAAAAAAATTTTATTAGATTATATTAATATTGATTAATTATTTTTTGTAATATTTATCATATTGTAAAATATTTTCCATAGAGTACCTGATATTTTTATATTACAACATATTTAAATTTAAGTTAAAAAAATTATAAATATTGAAATATTTGAATTCTTTATGATAATTTATAAATACAAAAACTGAAATATTGAAAGAATGATTATCTTAATATCTAATTCTTATATCTATATTCTTATATTATAAATTCAAATATATGATCTTTATATATATATATATATATATATATATATATATAAAATATCACATACAAATAATTATTAAAAAATATATATTCCACTTCAGGTTTTAATATATGTATGCATATATATGTCTTTTTAAATAATTGCATTATTTTGATTTAATTGTTCATATTAATGGAATCACTGGAATTGTGTAGGTAATATATAATATAATAATAAATAAAGAATATACTTAAAAATAAAACATATGAAATTTGCATTTATAAAATAATTTATTTAATATTCATGATTTCAAATTATAAAAGCACTGCATCGAAACGTTTGTTTTTTATTATAACCTGTTTTAAGAAAATGTAACTAATAAAATTGATTTTTACTATTTTTAAATTTTAGAATCAAATAATAATCATTTAAAATCCATTAAATAATATGTTCAAATAAAATAAATAATTAAAAAAAGGATTTCACCCGGAAATATAAAATGAATTTTAATAACGATAAATTATGTAAGATATAAAGTTATATATGATATTATATATTTATATATACAAAATATATAAATTATAAACAATATATTATATATATATATATTTATTCTTCATATCTTTTCTATGAAACATATTTTTAAATTATGTCTATGCTAAACATTATTTTATGTAAAAATTGACTAGGTAGTCATATCTCAATAACACCGCAGATGATAATTGAAGCTGTAAAAAGACTTCAACTACTTAAAATTTATGTTCCATCAAATCTTATTAGTGAATATTTACGTCATTCCTATCCAGTTAAAAGTAATATAAAAACGTTTAATGAAGAATTAAGAAAAAAATTAAATTGTGCTGTACGTGTTGGATTAATACTAAAACATGGAGAAGATTCTTATTACTTACCTACTTTAAGACAAGAAGCAAATACACTCAAAACAGCATTTACTGCATTTTGGGAAATATATAAAAACGTAATCATAAATATTACTACATTTTGTAACTTTTATTTATGATTATAATTTATGTTTTATAATAATATCTTAATTTTTAAAAATATTTAACATTTTCAGTGGTCTAAATTCCATATTTCACAAACCAAAAATCAAAATAGAAATCATTCTACATTTAAAAAACGAACCAAAAATATGAAATATTTCAAAGATAATGACAATCATAATAAATAAAAAATATTTCAAATGAAATATTATAAATAAATTTCTTTATTAATAATTTTAATTTATATATATTTAAAAAATAAATATTTTATTATAATATTGCCATGATTCAACAATGTTATAAGATTTTTTAAAAATGTAATAGTTTTTTTTTTTTTACTGTACTTTTGTTTTCTTGAAGTATTAAATTTTCATTATAGTTACAAATAAACAATTCATCGTGACATTTGTAATTTTACAACCATGATGCTGAAATATTTTATATTTCTAATTATACAATATATAAAAATATGCAATTCATAAGAAATATATCGAAAAAAAATTACTTATAACTATTATAACTATTATTCGAACGCGATAATAGATCTGATTAGATTTAATTTTATAAGGTGAGTCATAATAAATATAAGTAAGATAACCATTTGGTTGCTGATTAATTACCGTAATTTCACATTTTCATTCAATAATGTTTAATTTAATATCAAACGTATTTTGAACAAAGATTATAGAACAAAAAAAAGAAAATAGAAATGCTTCAGAATCTCTTTCTAAATACTTGACTTCTAATACGCAATAAGATTCCGCAATCGGAATACTAAATGGATATCATAATGAATGATTAAGCATAGAAAAACGATTATTTGGATCATAACATGATTCATATAAATCATCATCAGCTGTAAAATATTCAGAATCACTTTCAGCTGAAATGTTTTTATCAGATTTTGAATGTTTTGATTTTATTCTTTGTTTTTTAAGCAAATTGATTTTATTCTGAAGCATAGATGGAAACATTGGTTTAATTTTTAATAAAAATATATTAAATAATCTCAAAAGACTTGGAGATATTTGAAGAATAGCATTTATATATCCTTCAATGTCATTGCGTATTCTAAAATTATTACTCAAATTATATAATAAAGTACCATTAAATAAATTTGCTACTTTAATTTGTGGATAAGGATATCCTAAAAGTGCATTTAAATTCATAGTATGTTTTAAACAATTCTGAAATTCTGCAAATATGTGTACTGTAGCTCTATTATACTTTTTTGGATTTGTATATAATTTTTTGTCCATATTAAAATGAGTAATAAAAAATGATGCTGCTAATATACAGTCATCATAGTCAATTTCATTATAAGCTTTAATAATTGAATCATTCATTATATTATTTGGCTTAAAATTATTTTCTTTTCTTCTTTGTTTTATATTTGCAATTATTTGACCATATTTATTTTGAAAAGTGTACATAACTCTATGTCTTCCAATTTTAGAATCTATTATATTAAACAACATAGAAATAAATATAGAATATAAGTAACATTTATAAGATATAGAATGGTCTTGTTGTTGCATCCAATATTTTATACATCCAACATATAACATCCATTCTGATGGAAGTTCATATATACAATCCATATTTGTGATTCCTAAAGTATTATCTAAAATCTCTTTTTGAATAACTAAAGAAATTTCTCTAAGATTGAATAAAGAAGGAAGTTTATAAACATCTAAAGTTTCTGTGCCATATAATTTATGATATGTGATCTTTGTACTCTGTAAGTTATAGTTCATAATTTTATTTTGATTTCTTGTCATATATCTCATATAACATATTTTATTGTTCATTCCTGATTTTAGAATTCCAAATATTACACTAAGAATTTTTGAACTTGCTAAAATGCTGGGAGGATAACGATAATCTTCTATTTGTACAGAACAAATATATAAATGTCTAATTATTAAATCTATAAAATATGTTGGAAGTCTAGCCATAAGAAATTCATTTATAAACCATTCTGGCAAATTGCTAATAGCTTTTTTTTTTAATATTGATTCAGATTCACCAAGTGTATTTATTATTTCAATTTCATTTTCTTCTTCATTTTCTTCTTCACTTGTTTCATTATCTTCTTCTTCACAAATTTCTTCTATGTATGTCAATGTATTAACATCTCCATCAAACTTGAAAGTTTTGTTCAAATAATGAATATTAGTATGAATAATGTAATCTTTTGGAAAACCTAGAGGTACAAGTATTTCAGCAGATACATTTGTATAACCATTTATGTTAATCTCTATTAAATTTAATATTCTTTGTCGTATAGTTTTAGTTAATCTACTTAAAATTTCAATGATAGCTTTGTTCAAAGTATATTTGCTTAACCAGGCTAAAGTTGTTTCTATGCGACACTGTCTATGATTATGTTTTTTTCTTGATGCACCTCTTAATTTCAAGTGACGAAAAAAGTTTTTAAAAGTATTTCGTTTTACATAATCATTGCCTAATAATATTGCAGCCAATGGTAACATTGATTGATCCAATCCTTTAAAAGATTTAAGTAAATTTTCTACTTTATAAATCTTGCAGCGTTTCACATAACAATTTCCAGTTGAACTTTTAACTACATAAGTATCTAATGTATCAAATGGTATGTATAATGTCCCATATATATAAAAATCTGAATCATAACTAAGTACTGGACAATTCAAGATTCTTGCTACTGCTGCTATATGATTATCAGCTTCAAATAAACATTGTACATGTCGAATATTTTTTTCTGTCATTATTTCTTTAAAAACTTCTCGTATTAATAAAGGAAAAAATTTCATTTTCTTTTGACTAAGTGGACAAAACGAGCATGCGATACGAATTTTCTCTTTAGTCCTTCTTATAGTAGTTTTAAATTTTTTGTCTTCATTGCCGCCATCAATTAAAACTAAAGGTGTCACATTACATTTTAATAAATCGTCAAAGAAATTTGATATACATTGTGCATAATTATCGTAATCACCACCAAATGCACAATTACACTTTGCATATAAATTATATATTGAACAACAGACACTATTTCCATCAATTACTAAATATGAATTTTGTAATTCATAATATTCCAAATAATGATCTGAATGATTGTTTATATAAGTGGTTAAACCAGGAATTCCCATTATATTTTTTTTATTTTTATTTTCTTTAAATTTAAAATTATAAATCGTGTACAAAATATTAAAAATATTTTTTACATATTACGTGTAAGATATTTTTCTATTAGCAACATAGGTTATGTTGAGAAAAAAGAAGAAAATAAAAATTGTATTATTTATGAACATATTATTATCATATTTTTATTTAAAATATAATATTTATTATTTTTGTTAAATTCACTTAAAACTAAGATATTATTATAATTATATGTAAATAAATGAAGAATTACGTGTATTTAAAATTTATATTTATAACTTGTCATTGAACTTGATAAATGCAAATAAAAGAATTTATGATATTATAATGCTTTAAAATTGAAAATAATTTATATAAATAATACAAATTTGGGGAAAAAAAATAAGTGAATTTTGCATAAAAAAAAATCTTAAAATAAAAATATTTAATTATAACAAATACATAAATTATATCTTTTATTTTTATATACACATTGAAAATATAATTATTTTATAAATTAATATTAATATTTTAGGAAAAATATTAGTATTAAAACTTAATATAAGTTTCATATATTATAAAAAATATAATTTTGTGCTTTTATGTTTTTTCCATTATATGAGAAACGTTTTATTGGAATGATTTATTTTATAAAATCCATTTTCTGGGTTTTCTATGTGTTATTTATAATTTTGCTGAAAAAGAATAGATTTTATTAAGTGTTAACATTTAAAATATTAAGCAAAAATAATAAAAAAACAAAATGTCAAAAGTTTAAAAAAAATACAAATTATTTTAAAATTATTTGTAAACAGATGAAAATTATAATTCATTATAGGATAATAGACAAACATAAAATATGCATGCATAGAACATATATTGTATAAAAGCTCATGTGAAATCTATAAATATGACTATATTTATTATTATCCTATAATTATTGAAAAATTTTAGAATACTGTACAATTGTTACTTGATTTAGAATAATCATGTTTATTTATAAAAGTTTCATCCCTTTCATCCCATAATGTAAGTCCCTCACAAGCACAGATTTTTTTTGTATTTTGAAATAAACTAGATGAACGAGCAATAATACCACAAGCTAATCTAAAATATATAAGTATAACATTAAAAATTATAATGTATATATATCAATAATAATATATAATATAATATATATATCAATTATTTTATCATTTTATATTATATTATTTACTTATTTCCACTATTTCCATCTATTTTAGATTCTGGGTTAGTTCCTCTTCCCAAATCATCTGGTTTTTCTGTTATAACTAAAGATCTTCCAATAATATCAGCTATTTCTATAACTTTATCTATCATTCTAAAAGTAGCTCTACCAAAATCATTAACCATTATATTTCCTAAATCTCCAACATGCTGTAATATTTTTTTTATTTAAAAATAATTCATTATAATTAAGTGTAATATTATAATTATATTATAATATTAAATTTTTTTGTATGCATAAATTATAATATTTACCCGTTTAAATATGTCATCTTTAGGACCACCATGTATTGTATTATTTGGATTAAAATGTTCTCCAACACTAAAAATATAATACAAAAAATTTAAAACAAAAAAGAAATCTAAAATATATATACTTACCTATCACAACCTTGAGAAATATCACCACATTCATGAATGTGTATACCATGTTCACCAGGTGTTAAACCATCAATTGTTCCATCTATAAGACAACCATCAGGAGTTTGTGCAAATCTTATTACACCCATTATCTTATTATTTACAGTATATCCTGAATTTCCTCCTAACATTGTAACAGCACTAGAAGTATCTATATTATAAAAAATTATGTAATTTTTTACTTTAGAAATCGAAGAAAAATATAATGCAACATTACCTCCATATCCTTTTAAAACAGCTTTTTTTCCAGATTGTTCAATTTTTTCTTGAATTATAGAATATGGTAAATTTGTTTCAACAATAACATTATTATTTTCTAATGATATGTCAATATTTTCAATTCCATCTATACCGATTAATGTATTGCGTACTAAATCAACACATTTTTGACAAGTCATGTTTACTGCAAATTCAATCTAAAAGTGTATTATTTTAATAATATTTATTTTTTCTGTATTTCTACAATTTACCTTTGTTGTAGTCATGTTATTTAACAAAAGTATCAGCAAAAAGTAAGTTTTCCTGTTATAAAAGAAGATAAATTAATCTTCAGCGGTTTAAGGTTACGTATTCCGTAATATGATAAAATCGTAAAAAA